ACATTTGTTGCAGCCTGTGCTGCTTCTGTTGCTGCTGATGCAGCAGCATGAGCGACATCTGTTGCTGCTGCTGCTGCTGCTGCTGCTGCTGCTGTGGGTGCTGCTGCTGCATGCAGCTGGCAGCAGCAAAGGGGGATGCGGGGGGCTGCAGAGAAAGAGAAGAAAGAAGAAGGGGTTTAAGAAGACGAACGCAGCACACAGCGTCATGAATTATATTTTTTTTTTAGGGTTTAGGGTTTAGGGTTTAGGGTTTAGGGTTTAGGGTTTAGGGTTTAGGTTTTCTCTGCAGCAGCAAGCTGAGAGGAGAACAACAAAGATATATAAAAGGGTTTAGGGTTTATATTCCTTTTTATTTCTCTTAGTTTAGTTTATATATATAAATGTATTTATATATATATATATAAATATATATATATTTATATATACATATATATATGAGGTGTATAGACACCGCGTATATATGAGGGGGTGTATGCAGCTGTATGTTGCCGCAAAAAAACAAAAAAAAGAGAGCAATTCGATGCTATAAATACGAAAATAAATCGTAAATTAAATAAAAAAAATAAAAAAATAAATATTTTATATAAATAAATATTTTATTTATTTTTTTTCGTCGCTGAAGGCAACAAAAACACACACACATACACCCGGGGTGTTGACACGGTGGAGAAATGCGTCTTTCTCTGCGCTCTCATGAGCTAGATAAACACAAAAAAGACAAAAAAATATATAATTTAATTTATTTAATTAAATAAATTAATTAATTTCAGAAAAAATAAACTTTTTTCACCGCAAGGATTCAAACAAATACCCTAAAGCCCTACCACTGGTCTGGTGGCGGTCTGTTGCGGTGGTTTAGGGTTTAGGGTGTAAATATATATATAGAGCTGGGGTGTATAGGCAGCTTTTTTTTTATTTCTTTTGTATTTATTTAATTATTTATTTAATTATTTATTTATTTTTTATTTTAAAACACAAAAATTTATCCTTTTTTCTGCAGTTTTAGCGGCTTAGGAGCCCTAAACCCTAAACCCTAAACCCTAAACCCTAAACTATGGTGGGGTGTATACGCAGCTAGACGATGAAATAAATGTATCTTTATATTAAAATAAAATTAAAAAATAATAAATTATATATTATTTATATTTTATTATAGTCAATATGGCTTTGTTTAAACCCCAAACCCTAAACCCTAAACCCTAAACCCTAAACCCTAAACCCTAAACCCTCATCTGCATATGTTGTTATGTTATAAACAACGATACACTCTATCCCCCTCCTCTTCTTTATTCTTTTCTTTCTCCTTTTTATCCAAGTAAAACCCTAAACCCTAAACCCTAAACCCTAAACCCTAGACCAGGAGCTGTAGTAGCTGCAAGAGGGTTTACTAACGGCCTCGCCAGTGCCCTAAACCCTAAACCCTAAACCCTAAACCCTAAACCCTAAAACCCTAAACCATAAACCCTAAACCCTAAACCCTCAAAACAATATGATATACCTCATAATAAACTAAACCCTAAACCCTAAACCCTTGAATAAAGCGGAGGGGCTATCACCCGCCATATATATATATATATATATATATATATATATATATATATATATATATATATATATATATAATATTTTATATATATATAT